CTGCACAACAGCACAAAAAATATGATACTGTGCCCTGTGACAAACCATAAATTCTGTCACTGGGGATGTTCATTTATTTATACTTCACTTTCCATTCAAACTGGTCTTTTAAAGACAAAGCATTTGAATATTATGAAGAGGTTCAACCATACAGAGGTCAACTATAACGAACTGCCAAGGTAAACGTTACTAACTCAGAGACACTTATAAACATAGTAAGGATAAATAGTATCTTGTTTCCTTCCTCCAAACTGTATTTCATGTTAATGGCTCGAGCTTCCATGCCATCCTGCCTCTTGCATTCATCTCTCCTATCCTAAATTCTGGACATAACAAGTCCTATATGCACCGCATATGCGTCCTTTTTATTGTACTTGCAAAAAAAGAGAGTTGATAGCTGCTTGCTAGCTTTGTTGTGTACTTGCAATTGTTCTGCTGCAGCTTATGCAGCTTTCTGAAAAATGATAGACTAAATAATGTAAAGAGGAAATACACCAATGTGAGGTGCAATCTCAGATTAGCCTTTCATTTCATTAAATTAATACAGAGAGAGGTGTGGTCCTGAAAACTGAGTACAGGACTACGTGACAGCAGCTACTGTGTTCTGTTTCCAACTGACTCTTGGACAGATCAGTGAATCTTTCTGCCTCTGTTTCCCCAGTTATAAAATGGAGGTAGTAATACTTACCTATCTACCTCTTAGTGATCTGGTAAAAATTACTTAGCACTTGTAAAATGCTCTGAAGATGAAAAGTGCTAGAATGTAATACAAAAAATAATATGTTTCTTAATAGCAATAGATAAAGAATTACATTTCAGCAGGTTTTCATTTTCATTTTTATACTTGACAGCCCAGATGGTGTCTATGTGACAATTTTGTCCATAGTCATTTCAGATACTCTTAAGTGACTTCACGGTCCAAGACTTCAAGTCACTTGGACACTGTTGAAACTTTTATTTTTAGGCTTCTAAATAACTTAGGCATGTGTAAAAATGTGACCCTGGATCTTCCTGGTAGATTCCATGAGATTCTTTAAGGAAAAGCCTGGTGGAAAAGCATAGTGAGGAGACCCCAGCAACATTCACCTGGATGACCTGAACTACACATGCTCCTAATCAGTGCCTCAAGTTTCCAGTCTGTGAAATGGGGACAGTGATACTCATCCTTTGTAAAGCACTCTGACACCCAGTAATGAAAAGTAACACATAGGAGCTAGGTATTATTATTTTGAGACCTCACACATAATTAGTAACTCAGTCTTTATTCCCAAAAGATTGCTTGGACACTGCAGGTGTAAACCAGCATTCATCACACCCAGTCTAGGTTTAGGCGGTTTACTTCAAGCCACCTAAACCCTGACTGGGATGGGTGTGCACAGCCATTCGGTGCTGCCAGAAGCAGTGTGGGGAGCCTGATGCAAGCAACTTGGGGTGGGAGGAGGGTCTGGCAGGTCTGCCAGGGGGAAGGTCAGGGGGCTAAAAATAACCTAGCTGGGGTCAGGAGAGTGGAGACTGGGACTGGGGTGAGCCCAGTCCCAGGACTGTGCTTTGAGTGCAGGTCTTTGGGTAATCACTTCCTCGATCAGTTAACCTTTTCTCAATCTAAATTAACACACCTCCTGAAGTGCACTAATTTACATCAGGCGTGCCATTTTTTGGCCAAATTAAACCCTTTGAACACCTGCACAATTGGGCATTTATATTGACCTGAGTGTGGTTAGGTCGATTTAAATGTAAAACAGGTTTGTACCCTGCAACGCTTACCTCTTCTCTTAAGTCATTCATAAATTTTGTAGGGAGACAAATACAAATAGGGAAGTGTGTGTGTGTGTGTGTGTGTGTGTGTACATACACATTTTGCAGCTTAGAGACATATGAAAGGTGAAATATCAGCCTTACTGAGTCCATTTTTAGCAGAGTCCAAATTTCACCCCTAAACTTTACCTGGCAGTGCATCAGGGCTGTCTTTCAGAGTCAAATTATATCTTTAATGAGATGCAATATTTTCAAAGGTTTTTAAAAACACTCACTAACCTTCAGTATTAACATTTTAGTGTCTTTCTCTATGTTGTATCAAAACAAAAAGACACGTTGTAGCATTGCCATGTGGCGGAGGGAACAGCACAATAAAAGATTCTAAGGTCTCTAGTTGTCATAGACTAGTTTGAATATTTGTAAGTCTTTTACTCATTAATTAATATTATTATTATATTATAGACCTTACTGGAAAGAGCTCAGTAAGGTTATCAAGAATAATATTCGATAACACTGAGCTGCAAAACTTGATCATGTCACAGATTTTAGTTCAAAGAACTTTGGTCTTTCCAACTGATGAAGATGTATTGGGTACTGTACCCAAAAGGCCTCTCAGAGCTGGCCGTATTCACTGTCACTTTGAACTGTTGCTGCTAGAGATTTCACTGCTATGTTTTAAAGATGAAATATGCCTGGATGCCCACATATCCCACCATTACAGACATTGTTTTGAGGTAAGTCAGTTGTTGAGATTACAGATCATATAAAGATATAGGAATCTTCAGTGGACAAATAGAAAATAGGAAGTTAGCAGTTAAAGTAGTTTTCCTGGCTTTTTTGTGTGCACTTTTTTGGTCAATTCAAGCAACAATTTAGATATTCAGTATTGAAAAGGAAAGTTCAGGGACTTTGCATCAACACGTATCTCCATATTTTTATCAACTTCCAGGCTGCCTTGCTAAATTTTAATGACACTGAAGCAGTCAGAAATGTTTTGCCAAAGGGAGTCAACAGCGCATTAATATGTTCTGGTGTCATGGCTGAATGCTAAAGATACCCCCCGAAGAAATTATATGTTCACAAGTTATAGCACTTACATTTACCAGGCTGTTCACAGATGAGATAGAACCTAAATACCAAACATACTTTACAATATATTAAATACATACTGCTACTTTTTATCCCCTATTTCTTCCACAAATCTGCTTGTAGTGTAGTCCATCATATTTTTTATATAATGATGAGGTTCTGTAGATCTTTTGTGTATACCTTTCTGGAAATCAACTCCTTGGGCAAAGAAAGCAATTATCTTTCCCATATTTCATGCAAATTATGCACCATAGTACTACTTTTTAATTAATATATATACTTGTTTTCACTTGGTGATATATTTTGATTAATTGTCATGACAAAGATGTTCGTATTTTACAAGCTGTAAATCATCTGCCACCTGGCCATGTCCTCCAATTACCTGCCAAACTACAGCCTGAAAAGTTTGATTTGGGAACATTGCCACCAACATGACCGTCTTGCACCTCTTCCTCCCCACGGCCCCTGCAGACTTCGCCACTCCGCGCCCCCCCCCTCAACCTCCAAGATCTATAATTACCTAAATATTAAGTTCCATTCATTAAAAAACATTTGCATGTACACCCAGTTTTATGCCACTGAATTCAATGCCACTTGTATTTAAGAGCATCAGTGAACTTAACTCAGGCCACTAACTGATTGACTTTCTGAAATGCCAGTTATCAGGAGTAGGAAAAATATGACCTACTACACAAAGCTGAAAAGAGAAGGTGGCAAAAGATTACCACAAGGGTAATTATCAAAACTGTTCAAGTCAATAGGACCCTTTCCTTGATTTCCACAGACATTATCTAAAAGACCAATATGCCAGGTAGCCCCAACTACTCTCATTTTCACAGAGTATCAATGTTATCTCTAAATTGTAGTCAGACTCAGCAGTCCATGCAACCCCTAAATTTCCATTAGTGCAAATGCTTCTTTTTGGATGCACAAGATAACTTTGCTAGCACGCCCATTAAGATAACCATAAACCATTTGATACTCAGTTTGACTGCATTGGCTTTTAATTCTGAATGGTTAAATCCCACTACAAAGGTCTAGCCCAAAAACTATTGAAGTCAGTGGAAACCATTCCAGCAGTCATGGCTTGGCTTCAATGGGCTTTGAAGTAAACCCTATGGTGAAGTCACTGGGAATTTTGCCATTAACTTTAATAGGATGAGGATTTCACTAAGTGTTTCAGAAGTAAGAGGCATATGTCATTTCTAGCTAATCACAACTGCTTTAGGGTTCTGCCCAAGTAGACTATGACAGAAGTTGCCTGCCTCCTGCACAGTTTCTATGAATTTAAAAAACTGAAACTTTGCATATAATAATTTTATCCAATAAAAAAATATCGTGAGATGTATTTCCAAAATCCAGAGGTCAAAAAAAATTCAGCTAATATATAGTAACATTTATTATGTAACAGTGACATGTTAAATAAATGTATGAATTCATATGACCTGTACAAAAAGCCAAAAAAGATATTGCACCAAGTTAGGTACCAGCTATTTGGACGTACTATTCGCTAAACAGATGATCTATACATTTGTGAAGTTAAGGCAAAACCAGATGATACCTTTAACACAACAGAAGGTTTGAAAAATAGACATAATTACAAACATGGGGACTCATCTCCAGCTAATAAAGTGGTTATGTCTACAGAAGGAATCCCACAGGTTTTTAATAAAGTGGTTATTATCAATCATGTTAATTAAAGTTGAAGAACAAGCGTGAGATTTCCTGCAGGGCAAAGCTGTTTTGCAGAGTTGTGCCAGACTGATCACTTTTAACCCTGATAAAAAAAAAATTTAGTGTTATAATGCTCTTGTTATTAGAAAATACCATATGGAAAATATGAATGCCTTACAGGTCCAATTAAAACATAACCATGACCCTTTAGCTTTCAGTTGGATAGTCTCCATCGTGATCGTTGATGGAGAGTAACTATATGGGTGAACCATCAAGCACACTACACACAGAGGAGAAATAAAGTCACTCACTTATCAATAATGATTACCTTTCTCAAGACAATGGAATAAATTATGTCAATTAAGTCCAAATGAACAAAAACATGTATAACCAATATATCAATATACAGTTCTTTGGCAGCAACACACTAACTCTTGATTGAAGTCTGAACTCAAAATCTCCTAAATTATAGACCTGGTTGCCAGTCTTTTTAAAACAAAGGAAAATCCACTTCTCCCATGAATCCAATAAGTCCATTAAATGAAAACCGAATAAATCTTGCAGGCAGCTTTAGACTGTAACATTAAGCATAGATACTTATTGTCTGCTTTAAGTCTCAATCCAAATATACTGTATTTCAACACACAAAATTCTTTGAAACTTCGGAGTAGTTCAGATAGGGCCAAAATCCATAAATAGAATCCATATTCACCCATGAGAAACCAATAAAGAAACATCAATCCAATGATGATAAAATGATCTTCATGTAACAAAGGCAATGATTGATCCACACCTGGATGGGTGTCACAGGGAAAACTGATTTTACAGGGGGAAGACCAGAAAGCCAGAAAATGTAGAATACTGCCATCCACCGACCAGATTACCTTTCTCTAGTTTCAGGTAAACCTTATCCTCCTTGTCTAGATAGAGCAGGACTCCATTAGTAGCAGCTTCACGAGTAACATCTTTGTCCCCAGCAAAAGCAGAAATGACGGGTTTTCCATTTAGCATCAAATTAACCTAAAAAGGAAAAAAAAAACTGGAAAGCTCTAGTTACCAGAGAAGCATTGGAATATATCACCAAATAGTATCTAGGGAGTGATGTGACCTGGTTAGAAGCCAGTTATCCAGCATCTGTATACCATTCCCTTTCAAACTTAATACTTAAGGCAAATTTGCTTGTTTGCCTTATGGACAGACATATTAATGCTTTATACACCTGAACCAAAGATCACTGCAATTCATGGGATACTGTTCATTAATTTCAATGGGATTAGCTAGTTTCTCCGAATGATACTGAATTTCCTTTCATGAGTGGATATGGGCTTTAAACATGAGTAAACTGACCTAGCAAAATGCAACCAACCAGCTTATTTCAATTTAGCCCAAACTTTTTCAAGCTTCATTTGCATGTAGTATGGAAATGTATAATTTACTGATTGCATGTCTGTATATGAGGCACTTTCAGCCAGACTTTCAAAGGCTTTAGGTACTCAAAATGCAAAGAAGTGCCTAATGGGATTTTCAGCAGTGAGTCCTGAAGGTAGATTTAACTTTCACTGCAGGTAAGATGTAGGCCCGTTCCATTTTTTATGACAGGTTTGTTTCAGTTTTGCACAAAGCATCATCTTTATACACTATTCCAAAATGTCAATTTATTTTTTAGTAAAGTATCTCTGTAGCACAGAAATGTCTAGACTTTGAACCCCCTGATATGCAAAGGGATACATTATGAACAGGGATGGGATGGAGGATTTGTTGTAATCTCTTTTTCTATAATGCAATCACAGAGGGGTAAATTAGGAAATGCTTACTGATACCAACTATTCTGACCCCACGTGTACCGTCATTAATTTTAACGGGAGTACTACTGAAGTAAATTGTTGTTCAACATGAGTCACAGCTGCTGAATCTGGCCCTAATTTGGGATCTGCTTATCTGGGAAACCCATTTAATCGGATGTCTCCAGGGAACCAATTTCAGTCTAATGATACTTAATGGCACTAACAGATGTTTCAGGGGCATGGTAATATCACTTATGTGGGAAGCCCTCAGGTAATTTAGTGCCATTTAAGTCTGTATTTGCTGAGGCTCAGGCTGATAGTTCTGTCAGTCCTTCCTTGGCTGTGACACATGCAAAAAGTGCACGACAGGTTTGCTCTTTGCCTGTCCCCTTGCCACTACGTGACTCCTACTGCAGCAGCTGCAACTTTGGGCTGCTCTGCTGAGCATATGGGAGCTGGCCTTGATACAGTGCTGAAAAATAACAGGCTTAGTTCCTGTCCCCCTCTCGCATATTTGAATCCAGTAAAGCAAGGGCTTGCTGCAGCTCAACAGCTCCACGGGATGCAGCCTTGCATTTTTTATTTAATCCAAATGAATGGCCATCTACTAGCACCACCTGAATCTGTTGCACAAATCAATCTTTGCAAAATAATCTTTGGACCTGTTCTTCTGTTTTATACTGGTTTTGCTATGGTGTACATCAACTATCTTTAATGCATTTATTTCTGCTTTACCCCATTATGGGGGAGTGGAAAGGTCCTATGGCTGTTTTAATGTGATGAGACACGAGATTTTTCAAAAGTGACTAGTCATTTGGAGAGTCTTTAGCTTTTGACTATCAGTTGTGAGATCAGCTGGATCACTCCTTGTGAAGTGTCTCAGAAAGCTCCACAATTTCTGAAAGCCAGGCCCTTTTCAGGAGTATTAAGTTATTCACCCAAAATCATTAGTCACTTTGGAAAATGCTGGCCTATGAAATTACTCCTAATCACATCATTTAGTTGCATTTTTGTTACTATTCTGAAACTCTCAGGTTTGAGTTTTTGAGCCCCGGTACATGAAACACATGGAATTATAGTTGCAATTATATGAGAAATAGATTGCTTCCATAATGTAATTGGCCTTACTTCATCCTATACTAAAATTTACACTTTAACTCTCTCTGGCAATGGGTATGTTTAACAATTAGACAATGAATGACTTGAGAATGACTGTAGATATTTCATGCTTCATCAAATGTAAAAAAAGAGGAGGGGAGGAGTTTGATCAGAGTATATAGCCTTTAAGTAGTGTAGGGATGAAATTCTGTCTTCATAAAAGTGCATTGACTTTACTGTGGCAAATTACTTTTCATTGCATATGTTTAGGGTAAAATGTACCCCTCATGTGGATGTTTTATCAAACCAATCACCTGTATTATATCAACTCTCCATGGGAGCTGTACTTGCAGCCCAAAGACTGAGCTGCCACTGAAGGATGCATGCTGCTGGAAAGGTCATGTTTAGAACAGACCAAAACTAGGAAAGAGACAAATCAAGGGAAAAGCCACAAATCATGTGTTCATGGATCCAACTGTCTTCATGGGTGGAAACATGGAGAAGCTGCAGCTGCTATTCCAGCCCTAGAATAGCACATGTGGCACAGGAGACTGTGCAGCAGCCTCCTATGCTGACGTTGAGGTGCATGTTAGCTAGTGGGAGGATGCTGGAGACCCTGGAGGTGGTAGCTGGTATGTATATAACTCTGAACTGGGAGCTCAGTGCTGCTGCCAAATTACAAAAAGCAGCATGGCTTTGTGCATTTTCCAACATCATGGTAACCATCACTGTCTTCATTTTATCATAGTATAATTATATTACTACAGTGTAGTTATCACAGCGTTACATTTACAGAGCAGTGAAGCTACCTTAAATAGCCATGACCTTCAGCAAATCCATTTCTTCAACAGATCTGTGGTGTCACAATGCATTTTTTTCAGTTTTGTTTCTATAGTACAAGACATTTATCAATATCCTTACAATTGATTTAAATTTAAAAGTGCATTTTCTTGGTAAGTGACCCTTCAATCTATTATTTTCGCCCAGCTCTTCAGCTGGTGTGAACTGACATAATAATGAAGCAATGAAAAGTCAGATCAGCTTGCAGCCTTATATGTTTTATAGCTGCTCATTTCAAATGTCTTCACTATATTGCTCAATTACAGAATGTAACATAGCATAAAGTCACAGTGGTGCCCACTGTCCCCTAACACGGCTGGTTTTAGCTGAACGGTGTCAAACAGCACTTGGTTTAGACACCACTTTTTGCTTGCTCTAGGCTGCAAATAATTTACATTGAGAAAACACTTTTTTTTCATATTTAATCAACATACCTGGATTGTTTGACTTTGATAGACTTTAATTACATGAAAACTGAAACTGTAAATTCCTTTTCTTGGTGCTACAAAGACAGACTCCAACGTGAAAAAATTGCCCACATTTACTAGGATCTACAAATAAAGAATACAGCATGGGAATTAATACGAGAACTGCATGCTACATAAACATATAAAGAATTAGCACTAGAAGCAAGGCATCCTATACCATTTTCCCCATCTAACTGTACAGTTTTTTATGGTTTACTATGCTCACTTAAAATATTGCATGAAAAGTTATTAGATTTCATTTCCAATTTGTGATTTCCTGTATAACTTCAGAAAAAAATTAACTGGAATACAAATACCTGTCTCTTCTTGCTCCCTATAGGTGCCTCCAAATGCTAAATCTACCTGTGCGTATATCACATATTGCTGGGGGGGGGGGCAAACAAAATTGTCTCGTAGTCCCAAAACACCTCATCAAAACACCAGAAATTCCATGAGTGACTCTTAAAATTGGCCAATTAATAATGGTTATCCATGGATCAAGCTACATAGTAATAGATCTGTGAATAAAATAATTAATATAATGGTTTGTAGGTAGACTGAGCTGGCAAAATACCTGACTGACCTATAGGACCATGGATTTACAAGAACTGGCTATATCACTTTTTTAACACTTCAGTAGCAATTAAGGCTTGATTCAATAGTTGACAACAAGTAACAAAGGAGAAGACATCAAAAAAGTGCATCTTCTTTATGCCAAAATGTCGTCATGAAGGACCAAAGTCTTCTTTCTTGCAAAATTATTTATGCTTTGTTTTTCATTCGTATTTTCTGTTTTGTAAGGAAAATATGTTTCTCAAAAGGACAATAAGTAAAATCAGGAAGTTTCCTTAATTCTGACATTCTAAATTAACCCTAGTGACGTAAAGTACTCCGGTTGTCATGACAATTTATAATCCATTCCTATGTGATATAGGAAGCAAACTATCCATCTCAATTACTTTGGACCTGTTCTACTACAAGAGCTTGTATATGAAATATGAGTGCCAGGGTATGCATATTTAATATGAATGGCCGAGATAAAAACAGCAATATTACAAAGCTGTGGGATTTAGAAGTGAAAAAAATTATTTGAAATTTAATGTAAGCTATCTCTGCACACAACACTTAAATTCTAGATATCCCAGATGAACCAGAGGACATGCATTTCCCTCCCTTCCCTGTATCTTCCTTTACACTTAGTAATGGTTCACACTCCATTATATTTTGCACATTCCCTTGTCTCCTACACAACTCCATATGTTTCCCTATCTACCAAAAAGGTTAATGACAACATGGTGAATAAAAGTAAAATTTTCCAAGCACCAGCTGTCTTTATTTTGTGGTGAAAGACAGGCCCCCTCCAGTGATTACCTATCTCTGGGCTGAGTAGACGATTCTCTGAACCTCAGTAATTTATTTGGATCAATTCCCCAACTAGTGGGATCATCCCAAAGACTTGGCTCTTCTTAGCTATTTTGCAGAATAGACGAGGCCAGAGCAAAAAAAGTCTCTCTCTTGCTAGAACAGAAAGAAGGGAAAATTCCTGCTTGGCGCGGTCTCTACATTAGTCCAGTGCCCAAGACACTCATTTGAATAGCATAGCCCCCCTGCACAGGGGACCTCATTTCTGATGTCAACCTGCCTAAAGGGCACAGAGGAGCAGGATCACAGGGGAAAGCCCTTTAGTTTAAAAAAAAAAATCCTCAGAAGTTAACAAGTTTGGGGGGATTGTTTGTTTTTTCGGAAGACGGGCTCTTTTCCTTGTTCACACACTGAGGTTCAGCGCCGGACTCTTGCAGCGGGCGGGTGTGCAGGGGCAGAGGGGGTCTTGCAAATGCATGAAAAACAGCAGCTGTGCGTGGCAAGAGCAGGCTCACCCCTGCAGCTGCTCCAGGCTCCTGGATGGAGGGGGGCCGAGGCAGGGGGCTGGGACCAGTGCTCCCTGCCCCAGGCCGCCCCCGGGGCTCAACCCGCCGCTCGCTCGCTTGCACCTGTTGCTCCGCCGCTGTCCTGCCTGCCTGCCCCGACGGGCAAGTGCCGGGGCCGGGGCTCCTTACCTGGTCGAAGTAGATAATCCTGGTCTTGTTGCTCATCTCCGAGGGCTCGTGGTTGGTGCTGCGCACGGCCGAGAAGGCCACCTTGGAGTTGGCCGCCCGCACCGAGATGCCCAGCGGGGAGGACGACGAGCCCTTGCCGTCCGTGGCCGGGTTGGAGTCGCAAACCACCAGGCATTTCCCCTCCAGCACGATGGGCTCCGTGTCGTTCTGCGCCCGGCCGGGCAGCGCCAGCGCCAGCAGCACGGCGGG